ATCTACTAAGGCTTTAATCCACTAGGCTATTGTTCCATAGCCCTGTCTCAGTCCAATTAAATCTCAGTGAGTGGTTAATGTAAGATTTGTCCAGAAATTTTTAATTGACTACTTTCAGCTGTTTGTTGAATCATGATTAAGATAAAAAAAATCTTAAGGTTAGGAACATGTGAAAATATAATTCTGTTAAAGGCCTATTTCTTCCAGAAAAAAAATAGGTTAGTGTTACAGGCTGATAAAGGATGTCTACATTGGAGTAGGGGCACTACTGAATACAAATACACACACTGGATGATGGCTGTGACACAATTTTGAGGAATATCATCACTTCATTAATACTCAAATGTTACCTTTTAGTTTTGCTAAGGCCTTACATTTTCTTGTGCAGATGTGGCAATATTGGGCACCTCTTGCAGTGTGTATATATATATATATATATAAAATGGCTGGCATGTAACTCCCTACCCTCCCCTGACTGGTGGGGAGGCTGATTGGGGGCCCCAGGTAGTGCTCTGTGAACTTCACTATCTTATCGACATTTGCTTTTTTTCTACCTATCTTTATATATGTTACAAATTAAACTAAGCACATATGGCTATATTAAAGGAGGAAAAAATATTCAGATTTTTACATCATTCTAGGATCTTTTTCTTTGTTTTTTTTTTGTTTTTAATAAATGTTTAATCATGATCAAGGACAATTTTTATTTTTAACTGAATGTGTGTTTTTTTTTTTTTTTTATAAGTGCCTGAAGTTATAGGAATGTTTTATTTTTCAAGCATGGTCAGCACATTGTGGCCATGTTTATAGTTAATGCTATTGAGTGTTGGCTTATACTCTTTTTATTATTAGTGCTCACATTATTTTAAATCTGTTTTTACATGTGGATGAAACTATTGTATTTTCTACTAGTATGTTATGGATGGAGTTTGGTAAGTTTCCGTGTGTGTTTAAATGACACTTAATTGAGGTATGTTTGTGTAGGTGTAATGTGAGTTGTCTAGATAGGCATGTAGTGGTATGACCAATATAATTATTCATGAGTTTGATTCGATCAGAGCACAGTTTTTAAGAGGCATAATGTGTGTGTGTGTGTGTGTGCGCACATACAGATTAATTCTGTTAATGTCTTCCTTCCTTCCAGGTGGTTGATTTGCCCCTTAAAACTCAGGCCACTTTCTTCTCAGACCTTTTCTCCCATTCTCTGTATAAAAGCCCAACAGTAACTATTCATAAACATGCTACTTGACAGCAATAATACTCTAAGTGATGTTTAAATGTTAAATACTTCAGAGCCATCAAGACAAACAGCTTATTTCAATTGCTGTCTAAATAGCCTGCCTGCTGTTGTGATGTTTACCAGTAGATGAACAAGGTATGGAGTGTTGAGGGGTGCAATCCGTGTTTGATTAAGGCAGGAGTCTGACCAGAAGTCTGCTGGTTACCCCACCCCACCATTGGTATATCTTCTAGCATTTTTTTTCCTCTCTTTCTTACCACCTCTGTCTTGTCCATTAAAACTTAAACATGAAAACATGTAATCTCCACTACAGCTGTTTATTCTCATCCAGATCCTTGAACCAGTCTTTCTTGTCTGCTGGATTCGGTTACCAAAGGATTGACTTCAATAGTAATTTTTTCTTATTTTATTTTTTAAATAAATTCATGCTATAGATATTTTATATGAATAATTTTTTTTTATTATTATTATTATTTTTTTTTTTTTTATAATGCCATGCTACTTCAGGTTGTAGGTGGTCGTGGCTCTCCACATTCTTACTGTGTCTTTTTGAGAAAGATAGCAAATTTCCTGTTGGCTTCTCTATGATTTTAAATTCAGTTTTTCATTTCAACTGGTTGCCACCCAATAGTGAACCAAGTATACCCTGTTGTTTAATCCATAGCTGGAGAGAGGAGATATATTCATGCCTTCCCCAAAGGCATTAGTGTGAAAGTGAATGCAACTGACTAGGCTGGGATTCCTCCTTCAGTATTGATAAATGTTATGCTACCTGCACATTCTCTCTCTCTCTCTGTAGGATAGGTTAAATAAAAAATGTTGGATTCTTTGCATCATGGTATGTATGATGAAAAGTATTATGAAACTTAGAAGTTAAGGTTGAAAAAAAAAAATTAAAATTTAATTTGTAGTTAATTTTTACTTTAATTTACTAATAATTTAAAAAAAAATATTAGTTTGTAATTAAAAGCAAAGAGGGGAAGAAACAAATGACAAACTCCTCAGAAAATAAAATTCACTTGAGCATGCCTTAAGATAGTACAAAAGGAAAAAAAAACACCCTAGACAAATGAAAAAAAATCATAACGTGTCAATAGCTGTTAGAAAAATCTCTGAATTTAGATTTATGTATATTTTTACTTATTTTGTTCATATTGATAAAGAACATAAACCTTTTTCACATGATATATATTTTTTTTAATTGGTATCACCCCATGCAAGGCAGAAAAGCTGCTAAAACACAAAAGGCTACTGGGTGTGAATGAATTAGAAAAAGAAACATTAATAATGAGCAGGAAGAGCAAAGAGTAATCAGGAGGACAGTAGATAATGATTGACATTGCATTTAAATTTTTGCAGATTAAAGTTGGCTGGAAAGCATGGAGCCAGAAGGGAGTTCCACAAGTGAGAAGTGTGAGAAAAGAAACCGTTAACAGAATTTACAGTTACATCTAACCAGCTCAAACATAAATTGATGAGATTTTAATACTAGTCTAATCTTAATCTCTCTGGTAGTATTAAAGCCTCTCTGTTGCATATAAGATAGTTAAACTTTGCCTTATCTCTTTATAGGGTCTCTCTGCCCTAGAACAATATCTCCATTTATTGATTTTTCTTTTGCCTGTAATTTTGCTTAATACTAGATCCTGTAAATTTTCAAATGCAAGATGATCTAAGAGTAATACATCTGTTTCAAAACAGTGCAATATTTTTCTTCTGAATTGTCTGATTTTCTAATGGTTCATTGTTGAACTTTAGTCTTGATCAAGTATCTACATATGTTTCCTTTCACATATTCAGTGTTGAAGTCAAAGGCCATGAGCATTATGGCCCATCTTAAAATTCTAGCTGTGACTTTAGGTATTTTGTTGGAGGGAAACAGCCATCTCAGGTGATCTTTTATGTTTTGTATTTATGCTGCATAGCTTTTTGTTCTCACTTTCTTGTGTTTTATCCAGCAACTCTCAGTCATCACTTGCAAGCTGTCATGTGATCCTCAGGATGCTAGTAAAAACTATCCTGTTATAAGGGAGATAATCACCTTCTGCATCCCTCTAGAACTATTAAAGTTATAATATATATAATTATAATATATCTATTTTGAGATGCAAGATAGGCATCAACACAGCTTATTGAAAGATATACAAGGGGGATCAGTAAATTTATAGCAGGATAGTTTTTTTTTTATTTAAATAGATTATAACCATTAACTTTGTCAAGTGTAGTTGACACAAACATGCATTAATATTTTATTAGTGACATTGTGTAGGCTCATGCCTGACAAAATGTTTGATATGATCTTTAATAAATTCAAAATATATGAATGTTTTTCAGCAGCCAAAGAAAAAAAAATGTTTTCCTTGACTGTTTATTTTTTCTTAAAAATCCTTCTTGTGTTTATTTTTTCTTAAAAATCTTTTTTTTTTTTTAATTTTTCTTTTTTTTTTCTTAAGTGTAAGCTACTCCAGTTATAATTTACCCAGCAAATAAAGATAAAGAAAAAAATAAAGTTTATATTTTTAAATTAAAACATTGTTTATTTTTTTAATAGGATAATGAGTATGTAAGGAAAGAAGTTCTTAGTCTTAGATCTTTCTTTCTTTGGAAAATCTGAAAGATTTATTTTAAAATATTTTGGTAATTTCGTTGGTTTCTGATAATTATTATCCTCATTAATATATCCAATTACCATTTAATTGGATACATGAATTCTACCAGATAAAAATAGAAGCTTTTGGCACAAGATTCCCAAGAGTATATCACAGGACAGTTCCTGGCAATTAGTTGGCATAGTTGGTCTGAAGGATTGGTATGGGACTAGTACTGAATAATTGGAAAAACTAGAAAGTTTTCTCTTTTTTTGTACATACTTTTAATAAATATATTTAGAAATGTCATATGCAGCACATACCATCATGATAGTCATATTCAGGAAAACACTTTTTGGAATATTTAACTCTTTTATGTGTATAGTGGTGTAGTGGATAATTGTTCAGGATGAGAAATGGGTGAGCCAAGTTCAAATTCCAGTTGGGGGTTATTTACATTCACTTACACACAATATCCTTGGGAAAGGTATGACTCCATCTCCTATCCCCCCCAGCTATGGGTTGAATAGCAGAACAGACTGGGCCGTATAGCCTTGGCTGGCAACCAATCTACTGCAGAAACATCAGCCTAGTGTGGGAAGATCTTCTGCCTGGTCAGTCATGAATCGTATGCGACATGATCACCCAAGCGTGTGTTGTGTATCACACTAAACTGACTGAACTCTTTATAACAGTAATTTTTTTCTATTCAAAAGAAATGAAATTTTTTTTTTTTTTTAATTTTAAAAAAAAATATTAGTATGCAGTTCTCCAAGAACCCAAATGTAAAAAGGATATTTTTAGAAAAATATAGGATCTACTGTCTTACTAATAAACACAAAACAATTATTAGTTTATTGAATTGTATTTAACAAAAATATATTTTTTATTTCTGTTAGGTTCGCTGGTCCTTTTTGTTTAGTGGCATATCAACAACTCTATGGACCATTTAATACCAAAATTTATGTAATCTTGTTTTATTTTTGGAGATAATGGTTTAATACTACAAATCTTACTCATTAATCCATAGCTGGAGGGAGAAGAGGTGGATTCATACCTTTTTCAAGTGTATTTGTGAATAAGTGAATCAACCTGACTGGAATTGGAACTTGGCTCTCCAATTAACAATTTTGAGCCATTATCCATTACACCATCTTCGAATCCCAGCTTAGAGCACCTGGTATTCTCAAGCAGGCACCCATCTAGGTACTAACAAGACTCAATATTGCTTAACTTTGGTGATCATACAGGAACTAGTGTCTTTAATGTGATGTAGCCCTAAGCCCTTTCTGTTAGGATTATTATCAATTTATCTTAGAGAAAAATCTTTACTATTGAGTGAAAAAAATTTCATGATCAGTGTTTTTTTGTTTTTTGTTTGTTTTTTTTGTTTTTTTTACAAATGAATTCATTTCTAATCTATCCTTAGATATGGAAAGTCAAATGAGAATTATCCACTCCTGTTGATTAAATAAAGGGCTAAATTCAAAATTCCCTGAGGATTACCTAGTTTGAATGCCAAAATGTTGTGATAATAAAAAATGAGAATAATGGTTCTGGTGGAAATAATATAATTGTTTATAATCTTTTGATCATAATTAAAGACATTGATTTTTATGTTTATACCATTTAAGTTTTGATGGAATTGAGCTGTGACTTCCCTCTGTCTTTTCTACAAATATTATCATGGCAACTGCTCTGACAAGCTACTTTCACTGGTACCTCAACTGCATGAATTTAAGCATGCTACTAGGTTGGCATCTCAGTCCCACCCTTTCAATGTTAAAACAGTTAAATATAGCCATCTCTTCTACTCCAACAGCTTCTTCTCTCACACTTCCCAACAGTGGAACTCCCTTTCTCCTATTTGCTTCACCAATAGCTATAATCTTCAAATATTCAAATGTAATGTCAATCAACATCTTCTGATGCTTTGATCCTGATTCCTGTCCTTCTCTATGGCCTTTCCTCAGACATTCCTCTTTACTCTTGCTCTCACTATCTGTAACCCCTTGTGTGCTAGTGGTACTCCCACCTTGCTTGGGGTGAAATGCTTAAAAAAAAAAATTTGATAACTAATATGATAAGATATAAAATTTTATCAACTATTTTCTTTTGGCTTTTGTACATGTTAAAATGACACTTATTTGTCAATAGCTATTAGGTTGAATCATAATTTCTGTTTTTGTTCATCAAATTTATTCTTTAAAAAATAAAGTACACTTAGATCTTATTCAATATTTGCCATTTTTTGCAATGACATGTTACCTTTTATCATGCCGTTCTTTGAGACCTTTGTTAGAATAATAAATTTTGATGTGAAAAAGTTTTTGATGAACTCTTGAATCTTGTTTTCACTACAAAGTTTTTTTTCCCTCAATACAATGATAGAAAAAAAGGTGTGAGTTAAATAGTAATGGTGAGGTGGTCAGATTCCAAAAATCACGTCTGAGATCATCATTCCAAGGGTCAACTGGAGTGACAAATCCAACTTGCAGATGGTGCAGCATAAACAAAAGGGATTTTCAGTCATTGATCCATATCTATCGGCTTACTCCATGTTGAAATCTCTTGATTAACCAGACCACTTAAAAATTGAAAAAGGAAAGAAAAATCATTCTACTATCCTTAAAATGAAAGTTTATCTTTTCTTTATGTATTTTTGATCGATTGAACAGACTATCCAGCGTTTTTGCCTATGATCACTTCAGAATAGTAATTAAATTTTCCTTAGCAATTGTATCCAAAGGAATTCAAATTAATGTTTGGCTATAAAATTTTCATTGGTCAAACGTAACTGAAATTATGAAAAAAGGCATCCAGTCAATCTCTATCTCTTTGGGGATGCTTTTTTCTGTCCAGAGGAATCATGAATATTGTTTATTTTGGCATCCACCCTGGTTTCTTTATTATCAACATATGTTTTCATATTATAATCTTTGTGTATACCTTAATGGTATCTTTCTTATTGGTGGAAAGGATGGGTAGTCTTAATTTTGCTCAATCTTACTGGATTCCATCTAGTTAAATTTGGGCTTGATTCTCCTTGAAATTATTTCAAAAACATGATTTTTCAACAGATTTCATTTTTAATTTTCTTAACTTTTCAATCCCTCTTCCTGTAATTTCAACAGTTATCATCCAGTTAGTAGACTCTCTACTCTTCCTTCCTATTTTTGTTTGATCAACCTCCAGAGATCTCAGTGTCACACTTTACCCATGAAGTGATAAAAAGCAATCTTGTGCTCCAAAGTAGAGTTCTTTTTATTGCGGAAAGAAAGGTTGTAATTGGCTGAGAACAACGGAGAAGTGCAAACAATTACCATATTTCAAAGCTTACTAAAGTCGACCCGATCTTGATTCAGATTTTCTTTTTCAACACATAGTGCGAAGAACACATTCTTTTCTGAGGTAAGATTTTCTTTTCTCCTTCATTCCTACCAGGTGATAATCAGCTGGTTCAAGATAAGGTAAGATGAATATGATGGGTGGGGGGTAGAACAAACCAATTGTGTTCAAAAATCTTTTCCTACATTATTCTTGCTGTATGCAGCCTCATGCTGTCTTTGAGGAGAATTTTTTTTTTCTCTTTAATCCACTGTGTACACTGTCTTGTAAAATATAAGGTCTATTAGCATACTCCAAATGTATTTTTAAATGTCACATTATTAATAGTTAGGATAATATATCTATCATTACTACTGTTAGCAAAAACAAATTACTTATGAATCAATCTAATACTAAAAAATATCTTACCAAAATTTTGTGTGTGCTTACTATATATAATGCAAATTTGTGCCTGACAAGTTGGAGAACTCTGAAACTCTGAGATGCATGATAAGCGTAGGTATATGTGTATTTATTAATATACTTTATAGCTCTGTTTAACTACATTGAACACCGTTTTATTTACACCATGAATAAATACTTATTTGCTTACCTGTGTACATGCATGTTATCACACACATATAAAGTTGCTAATATCTCATTATTTAGTTTATATCCACACTTTTATGTATGTATAAAGGTAAAGACAATAGGAAAACTGTATTATTAGCTGACGTTTCATCCAATATGGACTTTTTCAAGGCAAAACGAAATGAATTTATTAAAAACAAAGTAACTATTAACAACAAACAAAATTTCCTTAGCAACTGAAAGAATTTAGAAAATGCTATTGTATTCATATTGTCAACGGAAAATTATGTCAAGTACTATCACATGTGGAAATATTGTTTTTCATACTTGTATATATGTATATACATCAATAACTCTAGAAAGTGACAATGCTATTAACTGAATTTTGATTAGAAATTTTAACTGCATATTTTTTTTCTGTGTTTAATATTCACTACTGAATTAAGTGCATTGACAAGGAAGGAGATCATACTGGAAAATGTTATGCAAAATAAATGCTTAATTTATAGAGTTTGTAGGTAATATAATGTTCCAAGTTTTTGTCTCATCATTTTTACATTTTTTTCCTTCCTTGGTTTTGTGGATTTTGTATGCTTTTAAATTTATGTTGTATCCCCTCAAGATGTAGGCGATCATGGCCCGCCACAATTTCCTATCCTTTGTGGCTATTAATAAATTGTCTTTTCGTTATTTCTCCTAAACCCTGTTCCACTATCCATTTACTTAAGCTCATCAAGTATATTATGTGGTATTTTCCTCTGTCCCTCAATCTGTCCTGTGAGTATCAGATTTTCCAAGCCCTCTTTCCTTATGTGCCCAGGAAATTTCAATTGTCTTTTCCTTTTTCTTTCCATTATCCCTAAAACCTTGTTGCTCACATGTTCAGCCCATGGCATCCTCAGCATCCTTCTGTAGAACTACATTTCTGTTGACTCAAGTTTCTTCATCTGTGAGGAGATTGTCCAGCATTCAGTATCATTTAGGAAGACAGATATCACATAACAGTTCAGTACTCTTTTCTTCATTTCTAACAAAGTTTTTCTATCTCTTAATACTCTTTGCTTTTGTAGTAGATTTGGTGAACATTTAACTAATGGACTGAAAATAGATTCAGCTAATTTCATTATAAAAATTATCACAAAATCTTAAGCAGAGTTAAATTTACATCAGAAGTAGAAGTCTATAAAACAGAATGCAAACAATACTCTGCAAAATACATTAGTGAATTATCCTGAAATTTGAATAAAAGAACATATGCACATGAAAGGAATTTAACAACACACTTTTATGCCATTAGAACCATTGTGATTATTATGATTTCAACCTGTGAAATATTTTTTTTAATAAAATGTATATAATAAAAGCAGCACCCTGTTTAACCATGTTTATATTCGATTCTTCATTTAATGAACTGTAATTGAGCAATAATTTTCAGTAAAAATTAAGAATAATCTACTCAATGTTTTTATGTCAGAATGAGGTCTTTGAAGGCTTTATGAATGGTGGTGATAAGGCAAGGATTTATGAAAGATGAATCAAAAGCAAACACTTCAGACAAATGTACCATAGACTGTCTGGTACACACACACACACACACACACACACAGAAATGTGCCACATTTCTATTGATTCAGAATAAATTACATTTGAAACCCACATCTACATCTAAAATTAGTTGTGCCAAAAGAATACTGAATTTTCATCAGACTAAAATAAATTTTTAGTCTCCATAAATGATTAGTATTTGATACTAGAATGTAAAGTTTGTTGAGAATAAAGACGGAAAGTTTGGGATTCATGCCAACCAGTAGAAAAAAAAAAAACAAACATTTTCAATAGAATTTGATACTAAAAATTTATTTTTTAGCAAATACATTGACCATACAAAATGATTAATGTTTGGCTTCATTTAAAGGTTTCTTGATAAATACTTGTTGATAATTTGGTTGGAAGGAAGATTCTGTCCATTTCTCTATTGAAAAAAAAAAGAAAAAAAATACCTTCTGGTGCCACACAAACAAACAAATAATTATTAAGTGTCAGTGGGAAGCTTAATTCCTTGTAAATTCCAGGATCTATAAATACATTTTTCTTTATAGTAACAAAAAAAAAAAGTTTTATTGCTTTGACTTGATATAATACAGAAATACTTATTTCTCTATGATCTCATCAATTCAAATACATTTAAAAATATTTTATATTTAACTCAACCAAACTCAAATCATTTTTTATTTTATTGTGCTTTGGTATCATTTATTTGCAGTATTTTGCTGAAAGATTTATTTTGGGGAAATTTGCTGAATTTGCTCTCACATCTTCACAAAAATTACATACTAAAAAATTTCCCTTTTCATCAATTTT